GAGAGAGAGAGAGAGAGACAGAGAGAGGAACATTTCTATGTCTATTTCTCTCAACATTCTGTCCTAAGCATCTCATTCAGTGCTCATGCTAATACACTTTTCTCCTCTGGAAGCTCTTTATGGACACAAAGCAGTGCTCAAGCAGGTTCCTATTCTTCATCTGGTCAAGCTGACCCCTGGACTTGACTGTCACAGAGGGTAACAGCAGTGGCTGGAGAGAGTGTACTTCCTAAGACAAGTCTCTGTCATCAGCACATCTCTCATAGCCAGGTTTTTTCAAAGTGCTCTAAAGTCTTGTGCCAGCACCTGTGCTAAACACTATCTGCCAGTCATGAGCCATTATCCTGATGTTGGCCTCTGAATGAGCACCGCCTGGATCCCGGCCCACTGTCTCTTTCCTGCTTTCAGGATCAGAGCCTTCTGTGTCAAAATTTTCAAAATCCTCTCATACTTTCGTGGACTTTAATTTATTTCAAGATGACTTAGAATACCTAAGGCCAAGAAAGAGCTCTGTAAATAGCTGTAGCGCTGGATTATCTAGGGAATAACAACCCCTAACAAGTTTGTACATATTGGGTTCAACTAAGTCAGCATCTGTTCAATCTGTGGTTGCTTGGATGTGTGTGTGTGTGTGTGTGTAAACATGTGTATATATATATGTGTGTATGTCTATGCATATTTATATGTGTGTATGTATATATGTATGTGTATATGTGTGTGTATATGTTCATATGTGTGTGTGTGTGCATATGTTTATATGTGTAAATATGTGTACATGTATGTATATATTATATATGTATATAATGTTTGTGTGTGTGTGTGCATGCCCATACATTGGAGGTCAAAGGTAGATATCAGGTGCCTTCCTCAATCACTCTCCACCTTACTTTTGAGACAGGTTCCCTCAGCTTGTAAATTCACCGTAGAGGCTAGACTGGCAGTCTAGTGAACTCTGGGGATCCTCCTGTCTTGGCCTCCCCAGCTTTGAGATCATAGGCATGTGCTGCTAAACACTTCTTTTTATGTAGGCTCTAGGGATCTAAACCTTTGTGTTGTTGCCTTAAGCATCTTACTGACTGAGGCATCTTCCCATGCCGACTGTACTTTTAAAAAGTAAATACACAGCTGCACACATGTTGTGCACATGTTGGTTTTGCTCCATCAGAGGCAGGCTATCAGGGTGGTTCACACCTCCTACCCAAGGATAAGATCAAAAGTTATTGGAAAAGTGGGGGAAAGTCTGTTCCTACAAGCACATTACAGATATGCCGTGCCTGTTAGACTGGGGAACAGCCACTGGCTACATATGGCTCATCGTTGGGGACAGATAGCTAACAGCCCAGTGTCCTCACATCTAATACTGAACAGATGCTCTTGTGAGCTTCTCTGCCACATTGCTAGGATTAAAAAGAAGTCTCTAAAGCCAGATTGGGTGGTGCAGGCTTGTGGTCTCAGCACACAGGAGGTGGGGAAGAAGGATCATGAGTTCAAGGCCAGCCTGACATATATGGTAAGACTGATTTGGGGAACCCAGAATGGATGCAATATCAACTCACAGAAAGTAGTGTCCAACATGTCCCAGCCTTGATGTCCTCTCAGTCTCATCAGAGTTGTGTAAAATGTTCTTGGTATTCTATGCCATGGGTTTCTGGAAGTCCCTTGTGGACAGTGTTAGAACTGACTTGTATGATCTGGAAACTATCATAAACTGTCTGCTACTAAATCTCATGGAACTGGTAAATCCATCTTTGTCATCTGAATGTCACCTTAGCCATTACAGCTCTGTTCCTTTGCCCCAGTCACATCTACAACACAGGTTGGTAAGAACTAGCCCCTATATTACATGAGGACGGAAGGCCACATATTGCAGAGCACTGTGCTGGCGCACAGTAGCTGTTGAATAATGCAGGAAGACACAATCTCGGAAATTCTTTGTCCACTTAAACTGGACCATTTAGTGGCTTGGGTCACAGGAGAAGGTGGAATGTCCACTGATGGCCCGGTATCACCAGATGTTCAACTTTCCCAAAGGCTTGAGCTCAGGGCTGGGCTCTGTCAGATGGCAATGCATACACGTTTTCTGGGCAGGAAATCAGCTGGTGATCTGCCGTTGTGTATGTTTCTCCACAGATGTCTACCACTGTCCCCCCTTCAGTACTCTGCATTTCACGGATACATTGGCACAGCTAGGCTCTGCCTAGAGGATGACCAGGCCATGTGTGAGGTGGCAGGAAGTAGGGGGATCCTTGCACAGGGCTGCAGCAGCCTCGGGCACCTGACTGCAGAATGAGTCCTCCCTGGATGCTGGAGAGCAAGGGAAGACTCTCAGCCTCCTCAGCCTTAGAGCTGTGCTCTGCTGACAGCCAGTGCAGAGGGTTCAGCCTTCCTTTAAACTCCCAGTGGCCATATACAGAGGGCTACTTAGAGTATCCAAACTTCTCAGTGGGTGGGCAGACGAAATGAGAAGCCGAGTTACAGGATTTGGCTGGAAATTGTCAGCAGAGAAGTAATTTAGAATTCACTTCTACCATTTGAGAGAACAGCTGGGCATACTTCATCTCTGTTCTCAGGAGGAAGAGAGACTGATATGGACATCACCCTGTAGTTGTTACAAGCTTGAACGTGAAATATCCCCCAAAGAGGCTCATATACCGAGGCTGTTCTTAGCTGGTAGCAAGACTCTGAGATCAATGGGTTAATACACGGAGTTCACACTGAATGGGTAATTAGAGGGTGGGGTCTGGTGCAGAAATTGGGTCACAGGAGCAAACCTTTGAAAGATGTCTTGTTCCTGCCCCTCCCTCCTCTCCTCTTAGGTCTGCTTCCTGCCTGCAGTGAGGTGAGAAGCTTTCCTCAGTCCTGCTTCTCTATGGTGACATTTCTCCTCACTACCCATGAGCACTAACACCAGGTGACTGTGGACCCCTGAAACCGTGAGCCAAGGCAAATCTTCCCAACCCTGTTTCCTCTCGTGTTTTGTCAGCCCTGGAAGGGGGCACAGGACAGACAGATGTGCATGGTGGCTGTGTCCACCCTGAGAGTTCCACCATACCTTTCTTTCCTCAACCACCCCAAAGAAGCCCTGGCTTTAAGAAGGTCCTGAGTGCCTGCTTGTGCAAACAGCTTTCAAACATGCCCCCTGCTACCACCCCAAGAAGAGAGCTCACCAGAACGCTCAAGATAGAAGTCAATTTGCTTATTCTGATATAGACTTCTTGCTCCCACGGGCCAGTCAAGGATTAGATTTCAACAGTTCTCATTTTAATCCAGAGGAGACAAGAATTGGATGACATGTTTGTGGAAATAGCCATCTAACAGATTTATACTCTTTTAAAAAAAATAATCTACCAGCTGTGGTTCTGGAGAAGCGATGAGTCCCAGCTGGAACCAGCAAAGGAAAAACGAACACTGAAGAGACAAGAGGGACATCATTGACTTTCAGCCTGGAGTCCACAGTGCTAAGCACTGCATGGCCAGCAGGTGGCGCTGTGGCTGGTCAGCAAAAGTCCAGAAGTCACTCCAGCACAGACCAGAGTCACCATTTCCAAAGGAAATTCCAAGCAATAGGGTGAGGCCTTCCTAAGTCATCAGTGCCTCGAGTTGATTTGTTTCTATCAGGGGGAACTTGAATCTCACTAAGGATTTGCCAAAGGCAAAACAATCTTGCAATCTTCCCTTCAATCCGTCCTTTCTGGGCTCTGGGGAACATCTCCAAAATCACAGGTGCATGCATAGCTCTGGTGGAAGCCTTGTTCCTTCACTTGATTAAAGGAGACTGACTGCCCCCAGAGTTGGGGATCTGCCTCATCGGGTCTCAGAGTTCCTGCATCATTTAAATACATACACACACACACACACTAAAAAATGTCATCACTTTGGTGATTTTACATCTATAAGATGAAGGTGATAT